CTCCCCCCCCCCCCCTCCCCTCCCGACCTTGCGGCGTTTGTTTCGTAGTTCTTGGAGACGGACTCTAAGGTGGCCGACTTCGTGGCCGTGATCAACGACCTACGGGACTACGTGTACGGGCAGCCCACCTCGCTAACCCTTACCGCTCTCCTCGACCAGCTCAAGGTTTGTGTCCGGTTGTTGATTGTGTTTGGTGTTGTCGATGCCGTTGTTGTTGCTGTTTTTGTCGTCGCTGGTTTTGTTGTAGGTGTTGGTGTTGTTGTTGTTGTTCTTCATGGTGGATATCCGTCTCGCTCACGATGTCTCATGTGATCGTTGCAGCTGGTGGTTCCTGTTGCCCGTTCTCTCGTTGCAAGCGTTGTCTCTCTCGACCAGTTAGAGGCTTCTCGTCTCATGCAAGAGCAATTTGGTCTCTTGCAGAGGCTTTTCTATCCCATGCACAATCATTTTTTGTCTCACGCATGTAGAGGCAATTTTTTTGTTTCATTTTGGGGTGGGGGTGCTCAGTTTGTTTATTTGTCTTGATTGGTTTTGGTCAGGACAGAATTCGGTCTGCTTATTCCTCGATTACTCTGCGCTGCACCTTTCTGAGACCGGGCTAGCTTACGGCGACAGTAGTTCTCGAATCCTGGCTTACCGGTTGGTCGACTCTTGGGGACAGCGGGGCAGGCTAAACAAGCAACACGTCGGACATGGTCATTGACCGGGGGTAGAAATGGACCTGTACCTTGAGCTAGTGGCATGTCTTGACGTCTGCAAAAGAAAGCATTGCATGCGGTGGGGTGAAAAGTGCTATGCACAGCGGTACGTACCTTCGGTCGCGCCTCGAGGTAACTCCGGACCCCGCTAAGTTTCCGAGCGTAACCCTGACCTGTGCTTTGCTGCAAACATGGATCACAACAACGTCGGCCGTGAAATCCTCAGCGATTCCTGCAGAAAAAGTCGGCGAAGAAGGGGATGGGGGCCCTGGGAGCGGCCCCAAGCTCCGCCGCCCTAGGCCAGGAGGGCCCACACGGCGAAGTTGCCCAAGAAGGAGGGGAGGGGTGTAGCGACGGGGGGGGTGATGGCAGCGCGGGAGATGGAGGCGACGATGAATTTGGAGAGGAGGAGGAGGAGGAGGAGGAGGAGGAAGACGGGAACGAGTCCGACTATGTGTGAGTGGAGAACAGTGTGTGTTGTGAACGAGAATGGGGAGGGGGCACCGTAGATGCCGTGTGGGAAGAACGATGTTGTATTCGGATCGACTGTTTCTCGTGCCGTTTGATGAGGTGAGGATATGTGCCAAGACGGAAGCAGTCCCCCGAATCAAAGCTGTCTGTGAGTACCCTACATACTTCACTAGTCTAATTGCAGGTGGCATACGATACCGCGCCCCCTGGACTGATTTTCAGAGCTCGATTTCCCCTCAGCGGACGACGTGGCGGTGCCGAAAACGGCGACGTTCGAACCGTCTCGTCGAGAGCTTTTACGCAAACGCGTAGGTTGACCTTGGCGTCCTCTTGGTCGCGGAGTACTGGAAGCTGTGAAAATTGGTCCAAGGGGTTGTGGTATATGACGTCACCTATGGTAGGTAGGGTGACGAGGAATGTGATTATTGTCTGGCGACCACGATTCCCCTGTCGAAAGCCGGGTTGATACGTCTGTGAGACGGGTAGGGCAGCGGGGTACCATGTCACAGGCGGGGGGGGG